CCAGCCTGGGTGACAGAGTGAGACTCTGTCTTGGGAAAAAAAAAAAATCAGCTCAGATGGCAGGATGGAAGACTAGAAATTGAAATGCTAAGTGTGGCCGGGCGCAGTGACTCACGCCTGTAATCCCAGCAATTTGGAAGGCTGAGGCGGGAGGAGCACTTGAGGCCAGGAGTTCAAGACCAGCCTGGCCAACATGGTGATACCCTGTCTCTACTGAAAAATACAAAAATCAGCCAGGCGTGGTAGCATGCGCCTGTAGTCCCAGGAGGTTGAGGCTGAGGCAGGAGAATCGCTTGAACCCAGGAGGTGGAGGTTGCAGTGAGCCGAGATCGTGCCACTGCACTCCAGCCTGGGTGACAGAGTGTGACTCTGTCTCAAAGAAAAAAAGGAAAGAAAGAAATGGCTAAGTGTGAGGCAGAACAACTAACTATCCCTGCGTGTTTTCCCATATTAATTTAGTCAGCTTTATTTATTGAGCACCTGCTGGGTACCAGGTCCAGGGCTGTGCAGAGGGGTTGCAGAGATGAAAAAAAGCAGGCTGGACTCTGTCTACCCTCAAAGCCAGTGGTCCAGGCAGTGGGGTTGCTCCTGAAATACGGATTCAGCCTGGGCTGGACTTCCTGCTGACATCCTAAACGGGATGTTGAAGTTCGGCTGCAGGGAAGGGAAAGCAGGGAGCTGTTCGATTGTCCCCCTCCCCTACTTTACAGGTTCCAAGTATCTTGGTTTAGACTAACCTGCATCAGACTTGCTCCTGGGGGTGGTGAAAGCCCAGGAAGGCAAGGTTGAGGGCGTGGGCATGGAACTCCCAGCCTAGGGGCCATAGGGAGCCATGGAGGGTGCATGAGGTGAGGAGGGACACACTTGGATCCTGTGCTGTGAAGGACCTGCTTAGGGTGCGTAGGTCAATTGGACCCCCGATGTGACGACCCCAGTCACATCAGCCTTGATCCCAGCTGATGTGGGGTCATGACCTACTCTTCCCCATGCACAGGTGCCCCCGAGCCCCCTCGTCAGTGCCAACGGCCCTGGCGAGGAAAAACTGTTCCGCAGCCAGAGCGCTGATGCCCCCGGCCCCACAGAGCGGGAGCGGCTGAAGAAGATGCTGTCTGAGGGGTGAGGGGCGGGACTTGGGGGCGTGGCAGGGG